GAATTAAAATGGCAAACTCGCCATCATTCTTTGTTTTCGTTAAGTAGACATACCATCTACGTCGCTTGTTCTTGTTCTTGAATAGATCAATGCTACTGCCAGATGTTTAGGGAACTGTTCTTCTCTCACAGCCGCCATTGTTGTTGTGTTTCGGGGTACACGCGCGCGGCGTGACTCATGTTTGTAACCCCGCCTCCAGCAGCGCCGGGGTGTCGGAATGTTCAAAAACCGTATACCGTCGCTTAGTCTTTTCCAACTTCTTTTTGCCCTCAAACGAAGAACGATAAAGAACTTTGTTTGAAGTATATCGGGGCCTTTACAGGCAATGCCTGTATTTGGTATCTGAGAGGTGACTGAGGGTCAGACTCATGTCAGGGATAAAGTAACTGTGTTTTTACATGAATAAAACACGTGTGGCTGTGGCGAATTCATGTAGAAACACAAAAAAGCTGAACACACACAATTGTTCATGATTCATTTCAATTCTGATGACATTATCTCTAAAACTGTAAATTAAACATCTTCTCAAACCATATCAGGACTGATGATGTACCAGTTACCTTCATATAATCCCAGTGAAAAATCTCAATTCCAGCTACATTTAGAGAGTCCTGTCGTGCCTCGACATTGTATGGTCCGATATGTTCGAGACTCAAGACATTAACCCTGATGTGGATTTTTACCCAGAGAATTTATCATGGGTTGAAAGGGATGGCATTGATGATTTAATAGAGTTAATTGAGAAAAGAAAACGCTGTCTCATCACTGATGTTTCTGTACGATACCAGTCTGGCATCTGGTAAGTTTCATCTTCAGATGCGTGAGAGAACCGGAGGCGGATGGTAATTTATAAATGTAACACTTTTATATGTACTCGTATACATGTTACTGTAAACTACAAAACTATTGCTCTGTATCTAAAAACAATATCGTTAGTAGGACATAAATTGCACCTTAATCTCTACGGCACGTTTCCGATCAAGTCAAATGACGTCACCTTTGAAACAATCTGTATTATATTAAGCGCTATAGAGACAAAGATATTAAATAATAATAATGTTGCAGTAATATAACATATAAATAACATAACTGCAAAAGATGTCTGTTTATCTGCAGAATCAGTGGCGAAGCGAGTAAAACGGCAAGTGATCGACGCGATCGACCCGAGTTCCATTCATTTATTTGAAATAAAAATAAAGGAAATATTTGAAAAGTGGAAATAAAATGCCTCATTAATAATATAGTGTTATTGCGTATTGTCCCAATTAGACGGCAGCCATTTAATAACATTAGTAAATGTGATAATTTACACTCAATATGGTATTACATACAGTTTTATAATGCACTACAGTACTGAAGTATAAATATTTCCCACCTAACTACTATTTACACTTAGTAGAAAACACTGCTATTTTAGTGTAAACTAAATTTATCATTATTTGCACTTAGCGTAACTAGAATATATCACTTTTTCCACTTGGTGTAACTACCAAAAAGAAAATATCATTGATCAGTTAACGACAGCTCAGTGTTTGATTCAGTTCTGTTCATTAATTATTAAATTAGTTCAATTGGGTAATATAGTATCGTTTGCTAGTATGAACCCTTATTAACAAGCCTTTGTAAAAATAATGGTTAGCACATTTATGACAGCTTCAGTGTTTGTCATGTCACACTGTAGCAGACTACTCTGAAACATGTTTTGCTTATTGTATACGGTTTCACACATTATTCTTTAAAAGTAGTAGGCAGTATACACTGTGTACTGAGCAGTAGGCAGTATGTTAGTATGTCATTTTGAACACAGCCAGTCATTTTCCCTTCACCTGATTTACTCAGACTTCTGAAGACTTCAGTATGTGTTAAAAAACATGATTAAATTGGATCCAGGGCAACCACTCCATGTATGAGTGAATTATAATATAATATAATATATACAATATATATAATATAAATATAATTGTATTATTATTTTTATTGTTTTCAACATTGTATAATACTACTGAAGACACTGAAATTGTGACGGAACAAATACGGAATTATGTAGCCAACAAAAACATGTCAAATAAAGCAGAATACGTTTTATATTTTCAATTCGTCTCCACCTTTTGCTTTGACCGCTTTGCTCAGCCTCGCGAGGACATCAGCTGGAATGGTTTCCCACAATCTTGAATCCCAAACCATCTCCGCTGGATGTAGATCGGGTGATTGTGGAGGACACACAGCTCTTATATAACCTAGAGGTGTGTTTGGGGTCCTTGTCCTGTTGGAAACAAATGATGGCCCCACTAAGAGCAAACCAGATGGGATGGCGTGTCGCTTCAAAATGCTGCGGTAGTCATACTGGTTAATACAATACACTAGTCATACACCAGCAAAGCCCCGTCACACCTCGTCCAGTGGAACCGTCCTTCTAACAAACACAAGGCGGTCAGAACCAAAAGTCTCACATTTGCACTCATCAGACCCTAGGACAGTTTTCCCCTGATCCGCTCCTTGTGTTTCTCGGCCCAAGTACGCCTCTGATGGGTTCTTTCTTTGCTGTGATCCGACCATGATTTCTCCTCTGAACAGTGGATGTTGAAATATGTCCGAGAAGCGTTTATGTGGGCTGTAATCTGAGGTTTCTATTAATGTACAATGTTGAAAGTAATACAAATAAAGAAAAAACACTGAAGGAGAAGGTGTGTTCAAACTTTTGACTGGTAGTGTAGTTGGAACAACTTCATTTTTATTTTTGAATGTGTAATCAACTTTGTTGAAATTTGTGTTGATGCTACAAATGAAGTTCCTCTAACAGTGTAGTTTGTTGGTTTAACATAATTTAATGAGTTGCAACTCAAAAAAAGTTGATGCAAACTGTTTTTGTTGAGCCAAAAAGCCATTACTTCCGAATCTTACATCTTTTTAGAAAAAAAAAGCGTACAGTATTACACTATTCACAAACACAAATGGCAACCATGTTTTCATTATAGTAAAATGACACGCCTTCATTTTTGCGTTTAATGTCTCGTTCAGGCTCTGGTTCAGTCGTGCCTCATGCTTCTGGCTGACGATCAACAGTTGTGTTTATTACGCAAATTAAGTTATTGCCTTTTATGATTGTTGACCGTACAACATTATCACAGTTAGATCTTGGGTAAACGCCAATTTACTGCTCATGAACGACTATCACAAAACATTAATAAACACTCATAATGGAGTGTCAGAATAGGATTGGAGATATTAAAATAGACTGTTGAAGTTTGTGCTCTCACACTACTTTACAACTGTACATGTTTATTGTGTTACCTTTTTGTAGTTTTAATATTTATATTTTTTATATGTAATATTTTTTATTACAATCATTTATTACCGTAACCCTATTTCCTACCAAAATACATTAACAATCACAATAACTTATAAACGCTGTCAAAAATGAGCAGTTTGACTAGTTTATGTTGTACTGTAATCTCAAGCAGCAGGAGCTCAAGCTACAAGCCGAGAAACTATTTCAGCTGACATCTGCCGAGTGTAATGTAATAAAGCAGCTGGATCAAACGTGCTTAAATCTACGCACTGACCAAACGAAGCTGTGAATTTGCTCAAACGCTTCAGTGTTCGTTTGAACTTTCAGCACGACGGCATCTGACGCAGATTCCTGATTCGTTAGATTCCTTTAAGTCTCCGTATAGACTAATGTGGAGTAGACGTCACAGTTACGTCACTTGCAGCTGCGCGCGCATTGTGGCACAGAACTGCAGGGAAACGAGTAAAATCCATGGAATAAGAGAAAACTAATTATTGTTGTGCCTTCAGAAGGAAACAAGCGATAAAACAAGCATCTTCCGTCCGAAGATTGTGGTTGTATTTCAGGGCAAAGCAAAAAAACTGAAAGTGAAGTGACGTGTGGCCAAGTATGATGACCCATACTCATTTGTGAATTTGTGCTCTGCATTTAACCCACACACACGATGTTATCTTATTTGTGTGCATTGGTTTTATATGTACTAAACATGCTAACAAAACAATCACCATCAGAATGACTTTCCAAAATAAAAGACCACAACAGAAGTTAATGCAGCTGTGTTATCCTTGGCGAAGAAATAGTAACGCAGTTCTATTACTACTCTATATCAAGTAAAAACAAACTCAAGTTTACCATCAAACCTGAGCGTCTAACCATAGTAAATAAGTTAAGCAATTTCATTAATTAAAACAAGCCTGCATTATGTCCATAAACAAATCACTAAAAGAAAGCCTTTACAGAGCAAGAACGATACCTAACATCACTTTTTAAGCTCTTTCAGTGAGAAGATGTGTGGCTCTTAAAAGAGCCTTTGTGTGTGTGTGCGCTGCAATGGAGCTCTACTTGGAGCTGGTGTACTTGGTGACGGCCTTGGTGCCCTCAGACACGGCGTGCTTGGCCAGCTCCCCGGGCAGCAGCAGACGCACGGCGGTCTGGATCTCTCGGGAAGTGATGGTGGAGCGCTTGTTGTAGTGAGCGAGACGAGACGCTTCACCGGCGATGCGCTCGAAGATGTCGTTGACGAAAGAGTTCATGATGCCCATCGCCTTCGAAGAGATCCCGGTGTCAGGATGAACCTGCTTCAGCACTTTGTAGACGTAGATGGCGTAGCTCTCCTTCCTGCTCTTTCTGCGCTTCTTTCCTCCCTTCGCTGCGGTCTTAGTGACGGTCTTCTTGGAGCCCTTCTTAGGCGCGGACTTCGCTGGTTCAGGCATGACGCTGCTGCGAGATCAAACCTCACGATACGATAATTAGAACAAGCGAGACAGAGGCATTTATTCACTAATCTATGCTAATGTTCACAGAGATGTGGACGCTTCTGATTGCGTGTTTTCACAGACTAAACCCATAAACCCGTGTGTGATTGGACAACTCGAAGAATCACGAGCGGAACGAGGGCCAATCACAGGCGGTGAAATGATAGCCCCGCCCACCGCTCAGTGTTTGAAAATCAGCCCACGTTTCCTTTTTCAATTCCCGCTCTTTTTGTTAGTTACATTCTGTTTAAGAAAATAAATGCGTCTCAAATATCACACAGGATCAATATCAAAAGTGTAATTTATAAAAAAAAACACCATAAACCCACTGATAACATTTGGAGAAAGTGGCGTGCTCGGTGTAGGTGACGGCGTCGCGGATCACGTTCTCCAGGAACACCTTCAGCACACCGCGGGTCTCCTCGTAGATCAGACCGGAGATACGCTTGACGCCGCCGCGGCGCGCCAGACGACGAATAGCGGGTTTGGTGATTCCCTGGATGTTATCCCGCAGCACTTTACGGTGCCGCTTAGCGCCTCCTTTCCCGAGTCCTTTACCGCCTTTGCCTCTTCCAGACATGCTGAAAATACTTCTTGCTTCAGTCTAGCGTCGAAACCGAATAAAAGACAAGCGCTCCAGGGAGGCAGTTTACAGTTGCTTACAGGACCTAAGTGAAACCAGCGCGCGTCACATGGCGCACCCCTCCCCCGCTAGTTAGAGCAGGACACAATGAGGTTTAATCCAAACCTGATCTAACAGTGTCTGTCCTGTGTTTCATATTAAAATCCATGTTTTCCATGATTCACTAGACAAAGAAGATTTATTTATAAGATCATCTGCTTCATGTTTACATGTATTAAGCACAGATCAAACCCCGCCGGCTGAGATGCTGCTGCAGTGTTTTTCTGAACTTGTGAAAGGCTTTCAATCAAACAATAATCTGAAGAATCCTGCCTGAAGTAAATGTTTTCTTTGAAGATTGTGTTAAAAAGAGTCTAATCTATTTTAAATAGAAAATTTGCGTATTTTAATTGTACTTTGTGGAGGTTTTGGCTTCAGGAGATCTTTGGGCCAGTGTGTACGGTTTTCAATCAAACAATAATCAGAAGAATCCTGCCTGAAGTAAAAGAAAAAAATAAAATATTTGAAGATTGTGTTAAGAAGAGTCTAATCTACTTTAAATTGCAAAATTGCAGACTTTAATTGTACTTTGTGGAGGTTTTGGCTTCAGGAGATCTTTGGGCCAAACAGGCCGTGTTGCCCAAACCATGCCAACCTAAGGCTATAACCAGCAGCAGAGGAATATGTTACTGCGCCGCAAGTCTGTGAACTGCTGGAACAGTGCTGACATTAATTAACTGACCCCGTTATTTCTCGTCAGCCCAAAGTATTCTCAGTTCCCACCACTCGTGAATGCATGGATCCATGGGAAGAGTCATGAACATGGACTCCGTCCACAAACTTCTTCAAAGTTTATTATTACATCAGTAGATTATATAGATACATTGTAAGCTGTGGTGTAGTGGTTTATCCTATAATAATTATACACTACATCATATAAGAATGTAAGGGGAAAACAAATACAAATACATATACATCTGGCGGAATGATACCTTCACCCAGACCGAACTCATTAACTTGAGTCTGAGGAGGCCCCACCATCATCTCACCATTTGAACCCAAGAAGAGATATACGTATATACGCATGCGTGCATACAGTGAGATACAGAGAGAGGAGGACTAAAGAGAGGAGGGAACGCACAGGCAAACTCACAGAAATATTCTGGTGGAGAGCGTGATATATTCTAACAAACAGCAAAGAGACTTCTACAGAACCTTGCTCGAACAACAAGAAAGAAGTTTCAAAACTTGTGTATATCATAGTTGATTCTTCAAACAGAAACTAGCTAATAATATCACTACTTGTGTTGGTGTACCCCTGGATTATATATCAGGAAACTTTCCTATTATTTCTACTTTTTAAGCCACCTGAAATTCAGGAAATAAGTGAGATTATTGATGAATTAAAATTATTTTCAGCTGGCCATGATGATATTTCTGTATTTCTTTGTCAAGCAGGTGAAATGTTCAATATTGCATCCACTTGTTCACGTTTTTCTCTTTCTTTGAAAACAGGCATTGTACCAGAGGATTTAAAAATAGCTAAAGTTATTCCTCAGTTTAAAGCAGAAGATCTGCAATGTTTTAACAACTATAGACTTATTTCTACTGTGCCATGTTTCTCAAAACTTTTAGGAAAAAATATTATATAAACGGATAATTTTTCACTTAGACACAAATTATATTCTTTACAAACATAAATATGGATACAGAGAAAAAACAAAACAAAAAAAAACATTGCTTCACCTGATTCAAGTTTCAAGTCAAGTTTATTTGTACCCGTATTTTCTAATAATATTACCAAGGGGCAACATGTATATCGAAAATAGCAGAGGACCTAGGACAGATCCTTGTGGCACTCCACCTGATTGACAAATTTACCCTTGCACTTGAAAATCAAGAATTTACTTGCAGTATTTTTTTAGACCTGTCAAAAGCTTTTGATACAGTTATTCGTTACATTTTATTGGAAAAGTTGCACAAATATGGTTCTTACAATTTTACATATAAATGGTTGAAGAATTGCATTTTTAATAGAAGAGGGTTTGTTTGTTTTAAGGGTTGCTACTCCAGCAAAGCAAGTCTACACTGTGGGGTTCCTCAGGGGTCCATACTTGGACCATTGCTATTTCTTATTTATATAAATGACTTGTCGAAAGTTTCAAATATCTTTACTCCAGTAATGTTTGCTGATGACACAACCGTTGAGTTGGACTTTGAGTTGGAGGGAACAAGCTGATTACGTGAGCAGAAAAATACATAAATCTGCAGGTTTAATAAGGAGGGCTAGGCATCTTGTTACTACAGAGTGTCTTCTTGCACTTTACTATAGTTTATTCGTATCTTTCATATTGTAATATAGTTTGGGCGAGTACTTTTCCTAAAAAAAAAATCGTTATTCTTCAGAAGCGTTTTGTTAGGATTGCAGCCCGATCAAACATATGTACTTCATCTGCTTCTTTATTTCATAAACTTATTTTATTTTATTACTTTTTATGATATGACTATTTTTCAAATATGTGTATTTATTTATAAGAGATATTCAGGTGAGGGTAACATTCCAGAGCAGTTCAGAATGAATTCAAAGTAAATTCACAGGTTCACTGTTAACTCGTCAATTTTCAGGTTTTCGTCTTTTTAAAGTTCTCACTTGTAGAGTCAATACTTGTCAATTACTTGATAAGAGTTAGGGGTATTAAATTATGTAATGGTTAGCAAAAAAAATGTTCCTCTTTAACATGTTATAAAAAATAATGTATAAACGATCACTTTAATGTTGCCTTGTAATAGTGTATTTTTCTTTGTTTTCTTATGCATTTACCATATAGATTGTTTTTGGAGTATATCATTTCTAGTTTTTTGACATATGTTGTAATTAATTTGTAGTAATTTATATTTATTATTGTAATTTAGCTCCTTTTTTTTTCTCTACATCGTTCAGTTGGAGACTCTAAATAAGCCCTTTGGATTTTCTTCCTGCACAGTATATGGATTTTACTTTTTTGTTGTGTTAAGCCCTTTGTGCAAAATAAATAAATAACAGAAACTTTAAAAACAAAACAAAAAAACATACCGCTTTGACTTTCATATCATAATTGTCTATAGAGCTGCAGAAACACGCACCAAAGTAAACCGAGAGCTACAGATTATATCAAACAATAAATCAGTACTTGTCAACTCCACCATAAAATAAACACCTATTATAACGAAATTACCTCTACTTGCACATAAAACAATCACAAGACACATTTATGACATCTATGTGTGTTATATTCAGCATTACAGTAGAAACTCTCATTCAGTGTGATCGTGGTGGCTCTTAAAAGAGCCTTTGGGGTGTAACGCGGCTGCTGCAGCGGCGGGGTTAAGCGCGCTCTCCGCGGATGCGGCGGGCCAGCTGGATGTCTTTGGGCATGATGGTGACTCTCTTGGCGTGGATGGCGCACAGGTTGGTGTCCTCAAACAGACCGACCAAATAAGCCTCGCTGGCCTCCTGCAGGGCCATGACAGCGGAGCTCTGGAAGCGCAGGTCCGTCTTGAAATCCTGAGCGATTTCTCGCACCAGACGCTGGAAAGGCAGTTTGCGGATCAGCAGCTCGGTGGACTTCTGATAGCGGCGGATCTCTCGGAGAGCCACGGTCCCGGGCCTGTAACGGTGGGGCTTCTTGACGCCGCCGGTAGCTGGGGCGCTCTTTCGGGCGGCTTTAGTAGCGAGCTGCTTCCTCGGGGCTTTGCCACCGGTGGACTTACGAGCGGTCTGCTTGGTTCTTGCCATCGCTGAGATCTACTTCTTCCTCCGTCTTGAGTGAGTAGAAAATGCTGCTGTATGTTACGCGCCTGCTTTTAAAGCATCATACGGCCACAGCTTATGGCGTCATGAAGGTGCAGAGGCTTGTGATTGGCTGATATGTGAGGTATGCGTTCGACTGCTAGCCAGTGACTGCGCACCTACTGTTTTAAAATGGAGCCGTTTGTTTCCCGCTCAAAATGCTTTGTTTATTACTTTATGCATCTAACAAACACTCTACACCAATACACATTTTACAAGTTGTTTACTAATATTGCTTTATATAATCTTCACTAAATAATTTATTAATCGTTTTACATACTCTCCATCTGTTCATTGTATGAACAATTACTAATTTGGATATAATTTTCATATGCACATTTACGTTGTCATCAAGAGTGTAACAAACTAAAAGAAGAGCGCTCTCTATCAGATAAAATGTGTGGCTCTTAAAAGAGCCTTTGGTTTCAGAAAGACACTAGAATCTTTTTACTTGGCTTTGGCGGGTTTCTCGCTCTTCTTGGGCAGCAGCACGGCCTGGATGTTGGGCAGCACGCCGCCCTGAGCGATGGTCACTCGGCCCAGGAGTTTGTTCAGCTCCTCATCATTGCGCACCGCCAGCTGCAGATGACGGGGAATGATGCGGGTCTTCTTGTTGTCTCTGGCGGCGTTTCCAGCCAACTCCAGGATCTCGGCGGTGAGATACTCGAGCACAGCCGCCAGATAGACGGGAGCTCCGGCACCGACGCGCTCTGCGTAGTTACCTTTGCGGAGAAGCCTGTGAACACGACCGACGGGGAACTGCAGTCCTGCTCTAGAGGAGCGAGTCTTGGCCTTTGCTCTCGCCTTGCCACCAGTTTTGCCTCTTCCACTCATTGCTGGATGTATAAACGTCAACGTTTATAAAACACAAATAAACCAAAGAGCCACACTCTACTGTATTTAAAAGAGCGTGCGAGTCGCCCATTGGTTTAGAGTCTGTAAGATTTCAAACCAATCACTGATCTTCCCTCCAACACTGACCTCCGAAGCCACGCCCCCACAGCTGGCGGTCTGATTGTGCTGCATTACGTAACAACGCGACAGAAAACAATGAAGAAATTGTGACGGTGTGCTAAAGTAGTTCAAAATAATTGTCAAGGTAAAAAGCATTTAAACTAATGTTTTTATCCTAATTAAATTAAGATATATGATCTATTAAAGCTGTTGATGTAAAGATATG